ATTTTGGCTTTGACGCATGTGACTGTTATGGATTTTCACTGCTGCTGTTGCTTTTCTCTGTTCTCCAGAGTTGTGCAAACCTTTTTTTTTTTTTTGCAGAAAATATATTTGTGGGCAACTATGAAGCTTGTATAGCATAAGATGCATGCTGGAGAGAAAGGACGGCTTTTCTGTGGCAAGATTATTCGGCTTCAAGTCTATACCCAAGACAGCTTTGGAGCCAATTGAATTCTATCTGTGCATTCACTCTGGTTCATTTTTAGCAAAGTGTACATGTTGAGTATGTAATGGTATGTGTGAGAATGACCTTGAGCGATAGGTGAAAAAACTGCAGACTAGACAATTGGGATGTAAAACATACCTCAGCACACGAAAGGGGAGGAGGCATGGGAAGCATTTCAAAAGGGACCCTCCCTAGTCTTCTGGAGAGTAAAAGGAGAAGAGGGGAAAAATACTTTCAGTCTTGCAAGGTTCTTTTGATGGAACCTTATAACAAAGCTACCATTACCTCATAGCACTCATGGTTGTGCATCTTGTCTGAACTACTGAACTCAAAGGACTAACTAAGTAGAATTAAGCCTATTAATAGCATCTAGGATGAATGCTTAAAGTCCAAAAGAAAAAAGAATACTTTATATGTTCCAATACAAGGTCTGCAGTTCTGAGCTGTCTAGTCTTACGATAGAAAAGAGGAGAAGAAAGGAAATAATCTCTGCAATCTGTAGGAAGCAGACTGAAAGAAAAACCAAAGTGCATAAATCTCCCAGCCAGGTAATATAGGAGAGATTAAGATAGAAAATAGGGAGTTGTTTGTTTGCTAACTCTACCACTAGATAGATTAGAATAGAATAAAAACAGCATAAAATGGTAAAGAATTGACACTTCAGAAATGGCCTCTCCAATAGAAACATGGCTGGGTTTCAGTTATCATTCCTTGGGTTTTGTAAAGAAAGAAATCAAGTTTTTTTTCTAGACACCTTAGGAGATGTAGAGATCAAAGGGTTTTTTTTGCCTCCCTTCCAACATTCTTTTGGTGCTTTGCCAGTTCTGTATTAAACTGTACAACCTGATCTAGTCAGAGAACCCCATCTGGTCAATTTCATAATGCTTGAGTTAGTTCCTCCATGCACTAGAAAATGGCTGGGTTTCAGCCTCTGTGCTTCTATCAATAGTGTGTATCTTCTTTTGGCAATGTCCCATGAAAATAATATAACTGTTATTTCCATTATGCCCAGCCATGATCTATCTTAAAAGCAGACTGGTGAAAACAACAGTCTCCAGCATTTGAATGGAAAATAATACTTTAAAAAAGTTTTTTAATTAAAAAAATAAGATGGCAAGTTGATATGCTATGCTATAAAAATGCCTATTGGTATCCAAACCATGGATCCCATAGGCATTCTTAGAAAATGCTTGGATGCATTGTTGAAAAACAATAAACCAAATAGAGAACTGAGATTGTGGGAGACAAAAGCTGAGAGCAATTTTGATCCATTTTCCTTCCAATAATAGGATCTGTTTTGAATGGTCACAACCAATCATATCCCATTTTTGTGAGATTGTTCATGATATGAAAATTATTCAGGTATGCTCATGTCATGGTTCCGACAGACAGAAACAAATAAAGCAGAACTTCAAGGCTTGGAAATTCCTCAAAGAACATGTTTATTATTTACAAAGTATCGGCATGTCAAAAGCAAAACCAAGTCTAAAGATACATGTGACAATTCCCCAATACAAAGTTAAGAAATCCCACCCCTAAGGCTATGCAAGCAACTACGTTCCCCAATACATCTTCTTGGTGGACTTTTCACGAAACACCCAGCCTGCAGTCTCGGGAGCAGCTGATGATCTTGGTTCCCAGGGGACAAAAGTTTATTTAGGCTAGCGAAGCACCTGGCAAACCCCCCTCCCTCCTTTCAATGTGTCAACTGAAAAAGAATAAGGAAGATGGCTGCAGCCATGCTCATTTGACAAGTTGACAGGCAACCTATTTGCCTACTCATGGTCTAATCATTTTCTATACTCATCTAAAGGGGTCCAGCATGGCATACAGTATGTCCTATATTAAAAAGGGCCCTTTTAGTTGATTTGATAAATTGTACAGTACTAGGATGCTGATGGGGATGCAATTTCTAGAGCTCCAGTTCATTCTTTGTATGTGTATATATGAATGTGTATGTTTGTTTGTGTGTGTGTGTGTGTATGCCTAAATGATAGTGTAATAGTCTGATTTCCTGTATGCAAGCAAGTAGTTACATTCATTATCAGCTAAGACACGATTCTCTTATCACTGGATATGAAATTAACTATACCTTTTAGCTGTACTAAATATTCAAAATTGAATATAAAAAAATCCTTTCCCGCACGGGACGGACATGCCCACTAAAAATGTGTTTCTTGCCAAGTGAGTAACAGCAGTTTGACATTGGAACTGTTATCAGAAAAGTGCTGGGCTCCCCTTCATTGGGAGCATTCGAACAGAGCTGTGTTGGGATGTAGGAATTCTGAGAAGGGTCAACTCATTTGGAAGACATCAACTTTACGCAGAAACTTTTAGTTTAAAATAAAGGTTGATATCCCCCCTCCCTCCTCCCCCCATCTGTTTGACTTTCACCCTGATGGTTTTCTGGAAGTACTTAAAATTTTGGCAGTGTTCCCTGGGCCTGGTTTAGGGTGCTTGTAGCTTTTGTTCAGTATTATGTCTACAAGGATCCATAGGCTTTTCTTTTTATTGTTTTCTGTTTTATTTTTAATGCAAGTCACCCAGATTTGTTCTGAAATCAGGTGGCCTCTAATTCTTCCAATAAGGAAACAACAAAAATAAAGTTGGAGGGTGGGAATAAATAAGGACGAGGCCAGGCTCGCATATGCAGCTAACAAGTATATAAAATCTGTTTATTGCTTCATAAGCATAGTGCATGGTATATTTATAAGAATTTTAGGACATAAGCATTTATGCGTGTCTATCTGTCTTTGGTGATCTGGCATAAATATGTACACTAATAAAACAAACTATGCAATTTGTAAACAAAATGTAACTAAAAATGTAATTTTCTACTTTATAATACAAAATGCTTAGCTGCTAGTTTGTGCTCCCTCCCATACTTACTTATTTTTAGCACCAAATGCTATCAACTTCTCTCCTAACGCACACCTGAAAAGTTATCCAGCCCTGAACCTCTTGCTTTGCTACCATCTATATTCCAGAGCCAAATTTTCCTTTCTGCTCATTTGGTAGATTCCTTATTTGGCTTCAGCTGCCATAGGTTCTTAATCAGTTTTTCTCCTTGGCCAGAGATGGTCTGATTCTTGGCTCTCCCAGGCAGCCTCCTTTATGCTTCATGCCCCGTCACTCCAACAGCACATCCTGCCAAGCCTAGAAGAAGACACTCCACCCACCCACCCCCATTACTTGCTCTAACATCTTTTATTATTCTTTATTTCAAAACCTCCATGCCAGTTTGCAAATTATAAGGAAGTTAAACTTTATTTTCCTTTCATCTGTAATTGTCCATCTTCCTGAAGTTTGATTTAGACTTGCCTGCAACTGCATGTAGGGGTTGACATCTACCTCTGCTGCAGAGGGATTGATGAGTAAGTGTAGGTTGCAGATGGTTGCAGATGGGCTGATGTGCACACCTCCCAAATCTCAACTACGTGTTGTGTGGAGATTCGCATCCTGCATGCTGATTGGTTGACCTGACTTCCTGTTGGGAGGCAGACAGCACATTCAAATGACAAAAGGGAGCTGCTAGAGCAGGCATGTCAAACTCGCGACATCACGCGACGTCGCGCGATGTATCGGAGCTTTTTTGCCATTGCCGGCAATGGGGTGGGCGCGGCTCCGGTATGATGAAACCGGCCCGCGGGCCAGCAGTTTGACACCCCTGTGCTAGAGGGTTAAATATAAATGCAGCAGCTATGCAACTGTCTCTGAATGGCAGATGCATACGTTCCCTGACATGCAATGATGTAGAAGTCTTCTCCATGTTTAAGCTGTGCACTGACAGAGTGCTACAGAGAAAAAAAATGACCGTGACTGTTGTGCATAGCATTTTTCTGTTTCAGGGTAGTCCCCCTTATAATAATACTTGATAAGAAAGACTAGAATAGTAATAGACACCTTGAATGCACTCCCAGAACACCTGGAGCACCACTTGAGAACCATCGACATTGACAAATCACCATCAGTCAATTGCAAAAGGCAGCTTTCCTTGGAACAGCTTACATCCTGTGACAATACCTTTAACAGCACCACACAACATCTGCCTATCCCAGATCTTTGGGAAGGACTCAGTAGCTGGGCAAAAATGTCACATCCAGTCTAAAAATACATGGCTGTCTGTGCAACCAACAATAATAAATGAAACAAATAGGCAACACTACCTTTAGTGCTTTTAAAGATCAAAATCAGTTCTGAGAATTGGGCATAGATCCAGTACAGCCTTTCAAAGGAAGCATACAATATTCTTGATCATTCACATGCATCGACTGCTTTTGAATGAAGCAATTATGCACCGATTAATTATGTGACATGTCATTCATCGGTCAGAGGTAACTGGACTGATGAATTTGGGATGCCATTATGGGGGAACATCCAAATCGTTTACTGTTTGTTGCCCCTAGTAAATAAGCTGCAACTGAGCCCTGTAGGACAGAAAATTTGACAAAAGATTTATTTTTTAGCTTTTTATCCAGCTATGCATGCTGAACATAAATAAATGGATGGAATTAGGATAACAAATGGGTTATTAGCTTAGCATTTTTTGTTTTCAATATATCAATAAGGACAGTGGGTTAGGAGACTGACAGCTCCAATTAATACAGCACAGTTCTTCCATGCAAGCCTTATTGCAGTGAATGGGGGCCATGCAAGAGCACTGCGGTCTTTTAAGTGGATTGTCATTGGCCATCAAAATGTCTGGAAGCCATGTCATCCTGATACTGATTTCTAAGTTTACACTTTTCTCCATGATACTTTTTTCTTCCATTGTCAGGTGAGCGGGGCCCAAAGGGAGAGAAAGGCGAGAAAGGAGACCAAGCTGGAGAAACAGGTATATCTTAAATTTCATATATTTTATTTTGCCTTAGATTTTCACAGTACAGATCAGGGGTCCTCAAACTTGGCCACTTTAAGACTTGTGGACTTCAACTCCCAGAATTCCCCAGCCAGCATGGCTGGCTGGGGAATTCTGGGAGTTGAAGTCTACAAGTCTTAAAGTGGCCAAGTTTGAGGACCCCTGGAATAGATAGTCCTTGACTCACAATTGGGGCCAGAATTTGCTAAGCAAGGTGATTGTTAAGTGAGTCACACCTAATTTTACAACTTTTATACCATGGGTATTATGTTAATTATGTGGTTGTTAAGCAAATCTGGCTTCCCCCACTGATTTGCTTGTTGGAAGTTGGCTGGGAAGTTCACAAATAGTGATCACATAGCCCTGGGATTTTGCAACTATCCTAAATACATACTAATTGCCAAGCACTTGAATTTTGATCATGGGATTGTGGAGATGTTGCAACGGTTGTAAGTATAAGAACTGGTTGTAAGTCACTTTTTTCAGTGCCGTTGTAACTTCAAATGGTCGCTAAATGAATGATTGCAAGTTGAGGACTACCTGTATTCTGCTGCTTTTAAGCATAAATCTTGTTTACTATATGAAAAGCACTTTATGCGATTACTCACTTTTGTCCAAGAATTTTCTTTATGTGAAACCCCCCCCCCCCCAGTTTTTATACAATTTGGACCACCACAGCCAATTTGCACCAAAGGTCTGGAAATGGGCCAGTCCTTCTACCAACCTCCCTTTTTATCCTCTTGCTTACCATCCTGTTGTACTGCTGTTCCAGTAGTGTGTCCTGTCTCTCACTTACTACCACCATATTTGCAAATGGGTACATTCAGACAATGGGGCATCAACACCTTGTTCAACCCCCTTACCCAACACACAAAAAAGTGAGGTGTATTCTTTCACACCAAGCAGGTGAGAGATCCTCAGCCCCAGGACCAGCTTTTAACCTCGGCAAATTTCTGTGTGCAGCATAATGAAGAATGCTAATAAAAATTGTAGTGTTATGATGGATTCTATGATATTGTAACCCCACATTTTAGAAATCTAGCTGTAGAAAGGATGGAGAAAAATGCTTTCCCCATACATAGAACACAAAATAGGGAAGGCAAATATTTGACAGATATATTTGTCAAAATATCTGAGTTACAGAATTTGATAACATACCTACAAGGTATTGAATTTAATAACATACTTACCTTTTTCCATGTGAAGTCACCATGTGAGTTTTGGGGGGAATAGAGTTCTAGCATAAAGCAAGAGAAGCCTGCATTCCCATCCAGTTAGTTAGCTAGTTAGCTAGTTAACTTATTAAAAACACAAGTCTGTTACAGTTCTATTGCTAGAGGGAGAAAAATTACTGAAGAGGAGGTAACTGGTGACCCAGATTCAGCATAACAGATATAGAGAAATTACTATGAGCCTCTACCATGCAATTGTCCTACCAAGATTTAGAGGGATCAGTGGAGGTCCTGAAAATATGAGTTCTGAAAAATAATCACTTATGATATGAAATATAATCTCTCAAAGTGGCCCTTTCTGCATACTACTCAATTATTTTCCTTTGGAGCAATGCTATGCTAATCACAGAAAAGGAGTAAGAAATTGTAAAGCAAAGATAAGGAAAAAAACCACAGCAAAATCCACTTTAAAGCAACACCATTCGATATATCTCTTCATAATTTTCTGTCTTTGCACACCATTCTTGTTTCTATTAAATCCATACATTGCCTTTTGTCCTTTAAAACCCTCACCTTCTCCGTTCTGAAGATTACATCTCCTTCACCTAACCACTGCTTTTTAAGTCTTCCTCTTCTCTCTGAACTTGTATGGGAGGAGTTTGACTCTGTTGCTCCCGAGGATGTGGACAGGGTCTTGGGAGGGCTGAATGCAACCACATGTTTGTTGGATCCATGCCCCTCCTGGCTGGTACTGGCAGCTCGGGAGGGTACACGAGCCTGGCTCCAGGGAATTGTTAACGCTTCTTTGCAGGAGGGTGTCTTTCCTGCAGCCCTTAAGGAGGC